ATACCGTGAACTTCATTCACGCCGCAATGGTTCAAAAGGCAGAGAGGTAATATAAGGAACAAAATGAATCACACATTCAGACCTTCTTTGCGCAACTAGTACTAGAACCTTAGTAAGACGCTCTGACCGGTCTTTTGTTCTGAACTCCCTGGGAAAACTTGCTAAAACTGCCTCCTTTCCTCTAGGTGGGAGGCACCGCTTACTTTGGCGCCTCCAAACAAGGGTGTTATTATGTAATATTACCCAACAGGGCTTTCAATTTTTTATTACAGAGCGTCTTTGACTGAGAATCTTTCCACACCCGAGGTCCCGAACAAGGTGGCCTTGCCGCTGCTTGGTGTTCACGTGCGTTACTAACAAACGTTCTGTTCTTTGAATCACGTAGACGTGACTCTGTAAGGTCAAAAGGCCGCTAGCCTGCAAAGCAAGCATTAATATTTTTATCCTTTTTATTTCAAAATTCGTTTTGCTTCTAAGTGAGGGGGGAGGGGGGGAGGCAAGTGAGAGGTGAGCGCGAGGAGTGAGAAACTCATTCGCTTGCTTACGCCTCTTTCTCTGCTTCTCCAGCGCTTTTTCTGTGGGGTCATTAATCTTTAACCCTAAGAGTTAACTAACATCTAATTTCTCATTACAATGCAACCCCTAAATCACACATCAAAGTTACAAGAACTAAGGAAAAGATCACCAACTAAAGAAGCTCTTGATTGTTAAACAAATTCTCCTTGTCAGCAACTTAGGAAATGTATAGAGAACAGTGTAGAGAATATGCATACTGATGTCGGGGCGGGGGGGGAACTGGTTAAACAGTCTACCGCTGCTAATTCGACCTCTTGCTGCCCCTTGTTTAACCAGTAAACAGGCTCTTGCGTTTAGCTTCACCTTACGGCAACTTTACCAGGCACAGCCACCAATTACACCATTGGTAAAAGGTACAGAAACCCGTCTTCTACAGGCCGAAATACCATATAATTTAGTCCGTTTCGTCTTCAACGGAGTAGTAATATGAAAGTATTTTTCAAGCGTACTCCCTCTCTTCCAGAGTATTAAACCAAAATAGGCGTTTTCTACATGGCCCGAAGGACGGCAACAGTTTGGTACCCCCGCTTTTATAATCTTTTTTTTTTTTTTTGTTTTTGAAATGGTGTCTTCCTCTGGGCCAGGAAGAAACCATATTTAATTATCACTTATCTAAGTTGATATTATTGTATCTTGTATCATGTAACTTAATCCAGAGTATCTGTTTGTTATCTCTACTTCTAACGAAGACATTTACGATCGCGTAAAAGTCTAATAAAGCTGTTTTCCTTTTAACGCTGAAGATTCCGCACTTATGATCGCTGGCCAATGTATAGAAATACCTTTTCGGGTGACTTAGGCATTTACCGACCCCTCGTATAAGTGATTATTCTAAAGTTCTTTCAAGACAACAAAAGCAGTGTTTCCTTGCTCGGAACTGGTCAGCTCAGACGACCACCACAAACAGTACAATAGTAATCCAAACTTTAATAATTATTCGATCTAAAAGAACTACATTTGTAATTCAAAATTAGAAAAACGCAAATAAAGTCTTAATTTCGTAATAAATTTCGAAAAACGTGATTGGAAACTTACTTCTGTGGCGGGTGGTAGAAACAGGTTTCTCTCTTCAGGTTAGCAGATACAGGTAAGCGAACAGATTATAAAAACCGACTTCTCTCTCGTATCGATTCTTCTTGTTTGATAAGCCAACACTTTTAAATCACTGTACGGAATTAATGTCAATCACGAGTCTTGTAAATATCTCTGTCAGCGAAAAGCAACGCCTATTTTCTAAATGAAACAAGCAGTTTGGCTTAGAGAGACGCCCAATATCTGGAATATCTACCCCCAAAAGGTCCTTTTGGGCTCCAGATACTACTCAGAACAGTTCGATTTTGACCCAAAGCTAATGAACCAAGACTAACTCAGTATAATCATGTCAGCCAAAGTAGAAAATAAATTTACATTTTGCCATATACAAACATTCATATGTTTACCTTTTTTGGGCTTTAGAAGGCTATAAGTATTAAAACTGTTTATCTATTCATTACCCACTTTTTCTTTATATTACAATTAGATTCGTTTGAGTAGAACAGATACTGAAGGTGAGTTCATGAGAATTTCTATCCGAGGTAAAGATAGCGCCGGCCGGTTTTATATATGACTTTGATTCAAATTCGCCCAGCGACGCCGAAAAAAATTAAGGTAAATACGAGGACTGATAAGAAATTATTTGTGATGTGAAGCCTAGCATGCAACAAAGGGACATAACCAGATAGAACGGAAGCAAAAACTTGACAGAAAAGCATCTTACACCAAGCATTTCCTGCAATTCATTTATCATCGACGCCGATTATTTACATCGGATTCAGTAAAGAAACCATACTTAACCATGGCTTTTACCTCCTTATTCAATAAAAAAGACCCTTTAAATTGCTGTTGGCTGGCAATAATAACTTACCAAACAGGAACAAAGACTTCAGATAAATATAGAAAACGAATTAAAAGCTTTAACTTAATTTCTTACTTGAAATATTTCGTTCAAACTCTTTTCGTTGCTTTATCACGAACACTAGTATCTGTTCTAGGTAACGCTGTACAATTTTTACCGTAGGATTAATTTTCGCACAGTTTTTAATTAAGTACCGTGTTTTGTGAGACGAGAGCACAATCTTCTCTGTATAGAAAATCCTTCAGCATGTCCTCTCGAACAGACCAATAAGACGGACAATTTTTACCGTATTTCGCTATTTGCAAATGTCCACCAGAACACGACAAACACAGAACATGAAATTTCTGCAAGATATTACTACATTCTAAATAATAGGTAAACATGAATTCATTAGTTTCCGCTTCCCTCACTTCAAAGTAACGTAGTCTTGAAAGTCGATCATCATGGTCATAAAATCGCTCTGGCGTAAAGTACTGCCCAGCAAGAATGACAGCATTTTTCGTTTCAATTCTCTCCCGCGGAAAAGACTTAATATTAAGATGCTCAAATACTTCGTTTCCCCACGTAGTCCTTAACCGCAGAATCAATTTTACGATTTCATCAGCTGTACAGTAGTCTCCACTTTCGGCAAGATCGCTCATGCATCGACAAGCGTCCACGAGTAACTCGTTCACTGACTCCGAAAACTCGACACTCCAACACATGTCGTGTTTACTCGTCCAGCAAAGCGCTTTCTCCAATTTTGAGGTTAAATCTCGAAGCGTGTTGTCCTCGAGGCAAACATTTGTAAGTTGTGTGGTTTGAAAATTGGCTTCCCGATTTTTTCGTGCTCCTCTGCCATATCTCGAATTGTCGTCCTGAAATCGCGCCGATGATGAGTTTGCATCACGTTTAGAGCGAGAAGGACAACTACCCATTATGGAAGCTAAAAGTTTGTCTTTTTGTTGTCAAGTGCGATGAAAATCCAACGAACGTTACAATAGCACTAGCTGCCAACGAGGAAGACACTGCATGGCAAATCAAATATCTTATCGATCTCTTTATTATTATCATTCAAAAATCCAATTCATATCTTCAAATTAAAGATTCAGATTTATTATTCATAGTTAACAAAAAACTGAGATAATCCTTTTGAAGTCGAGATGATATAAATCATCTTAAGTCCTTCAAAATTTCACACCGTGAAACTATAAATTTGTAAATTTAAGTTAATTGGAGCCGCCCCCAAAGCGTCCTGAAAAAAGCAGCCCTTATTGAACCGCTTCATTGCTATGGAAACTTTAGACTTAAGAAAAACATTTCTGCTGGAGGCAAATGAAATGCGAATAGATCTGCTTGCAAGTTTAATGTAGTGATCACAAAATACTTTTCCTGCTATATAACCTGTAAAAGTCATTTAAAAGTTAAGCATTTCAAGGTAACAAAAATATTGTTTACTTGTGTTGTCAGTCGTTAAGAATCACCCTCACTCGGTTACCAAATAAGTTAAGTCTACATCTTCTTAAAAAAAGCTTTCACGAAGGCCAGTTTTTAGTATTGATTCCTATTTTCGAATAATTTCGTATTTTTGTCCACATGCAGTGTAGCCGGATTAAATTGCAAATGTGCCGATGTACTAATCAAACAATTTTATAGCATCATTCAGAATTATGTGTTTTCTGAACAATTTCCCAATAGTTGACAATTCCAAAAACCTTCCTGAATTAAAAAAACTATTCAATACCTCACTTAGTTGATTAGATGTTGATGTTATCGCCTCAATTAGACAAACGGAGTGCTGCGCTAATTTTTAAGATAACAATTATTGTGAGGTAGACTTCGTTCGCTCAACAAAAAGTCACTATGTGATTCTCGAAGACTAGCTATGAAAAAATCCTGAAGTAGCTCATCTGACCGCATCATTAATTTGATATCCGCATCGTATCTTTTCCGGCTTAAGGTGTATTGATTTAATTCAATGTTATTTTTATTATTAGCACCTTGATGATTTTGATGCGTTAAAGCGAAAAAGTAGACAACACTTCAAATAAACTGTGTTTACCCCGTTTGGTAGAAAATGTCTATTATACATGACCTTAATTCTTATAACCATATTCTAAATGAAAACTTTAAACCGAAAACTAATATAATTATATTAGCGGTAGAAGTAATTAATAAATCGATTCTCGTAATTTTTCAGTCTGCCGAATTGTATATAGGACATATTTATCCCTTTCTTGGTAATGATTTATCATCGATCCCAAAACTTCAGTTTTGAATTTGGTTCAAAGAGCCAGAATGAAACTCGAAATGATATCGTGCAATGCAGATGCTATTCGTGTAAATATTTATGATGAAGGTTCATCAAATTCATAATTCGTTACAGTAGCTAGGTTTGGTGGAAGACGAGTAAAAATTGAAAACAAAAAAAATGCACTGAGCTCGATCAGAAAAATCATTTGACCAAGAGTCTAAATGTCTACTAAAGAAGTGATTTTCCCAAGAGGCCTGCAATTTAAGCAATTGCAAAAAAAGACTAAAAAAAATTAAAAAATAGACTTTGACAGGATTCGAGCCCTTGTGCCTCCCTTTCTAGATACTAGTAAACCCCTATGACTTATCATAGATTGTGCTGGCATAAGCTTTGGCATAATTTGGAAAAACGAGCATGAATTCTGCTCTGGTTATAAAAGTAGCATTGCTAGCAAAATCAGCATATTTCTAATTTTTTGGAAGGGAACATTACCATAGTTGTTACTCGTTTGATCTCTAAAGATTAATTTTCTCAAGTTCGGTCCATGTAGTCCAGGTTACTCGGGCTTCTTGTGGAATGCCCGAGTTATAAATTGGGCTTCGTTATTTTCCGTCTTGAGACGCAAAACGCAGTTTAGCAAGTGAAGCGCATGCGCTGAGTATGCTTTTTCAGTTGCAAAGTAAGCATTCAATCACGAAGTATATACCCAGGTAAGCTTCAAAGCACATGGATTTCATGGCGGCCAGAAAAATGCCTCATGATTCAAGGGTAAAAATGTCTTCTCATACGCTCAAACTACATACAAAAGCACACACTAATCGTGGTGGACTCACACTAAAAGATGTCGAACGTTTTCGAACTGACGGGTCGGTCCACGAACCAGTTACGAGAGATCAACATACGAGCGAATATTTTTGAGTGAACCTTCTATCGAGAACTATGCTATATCAAATGAACTAGCTACTGAACTATCTAATGTAAGCTTTTCTCGCTCTTTGTCTCTCCAGCATTACTGTTTTTTTTTTTTTAATTATCATTTTCGGTGCCACGGATGTGCGCGAGGTTCCATCCGAACTTACCCCCTTCCCCCTGCAGTTTACGAATGGTCTAAAGCACTAAATTTTTGGACTTGATAAGTTCTAGTTCACATTAGTATATACCAAAACAGTGGATAGCGTTGAAGGCGCGCTCTGATTGGTTAGTCAAACTCCGAATATCCTTTGCTATTAACCTCCGAGCAACTCGGAAAAAAATGGCGTCCCGGTTTGCATCTGTGACAAGCGAAGAAATCACTCCAATTAATTTTTGGTGGTGTATATTATCTCACTGTTTTAGTATATACTAAAACAACCGTGACTATTCACCTCAGTGTCGGTGATTAGCGAAACCTGTGAGGGTTGAAATCAAATGATCAAAACATTCGCTTCATAATTTTTTTAGCTAGTTTCGTGACACAAACAAATTTTATATTACTCTGGTGCAAAATGAACGAAATCGATATAGCTTAAAAAACAAGACGTTTTTAAAAGACATTATTCACACCGAGTTGACGTCAAAGTTGCCATGGTGTGTAAAGATTGCGTTTCTTTCCCCCCCCAAAAGATCTGAACCGTCATTTTCGAAACTTTTCTCACAGAATTAAGAATTTTTATGTATGTATGCATCTTCAGGACTTTTCGCATTGTTCTTGTGATCCACTCTGCAAATAAAGTTTTCGTAACTCCTAGATAAAGTTCTTAAAGCTTTACTGTGAGTTATGTCGTGTAAATAACTACAGTATACTGCATTACGGTACTAACTCTTATTGCAAGTGTTGCACTCATTTGCAGTTTATATTTACACCAACGATTTAACTGTGCCAATAGAAAATGAAAGCTCAAGGGACTTTTGAGCCATTGTATTTTCGTTTTGGTTGTTAAGACGCATATTTGCATTTCCTTTCCTTAATTCATTTTACGCAACGAGTCGTATCAAGCTTCCTTGTGTATGCCATAACGCAATACGACGTGACGCTGGAAATTGGCGTATGAATTTCGATCGGGTGTGTTCTACTTACGAAAACTGAAAACCTTGTGTTTATTAATGAAGAGATGGGTTGCTTTCCCACCAAAGAATGCTACCAGTGGTCCGCAGATAACGATCTAGATCTGGACATAACTCCGTTGCTAAACGAAAGTTCGAAATCAGAGGGCTATGTACAGGATCATCAGGAAATGTCAACAGATCGTGACCGGGAAATTGATGACATTGATCCAAAATTGGAAACCCTTTTACTAAAACTTGAACATGCTCAAGGTTTGAGAGAGAACATTCGCCGATGTACATCCAACACAGAACTTGAAAACTACCGATTAAAGGTCATCGGTGTTTTAAATGCCGCTACAATTGAAATGAGTCGCATGTCGATGGCTCATAAACAAATTGACGCGGAAAGAGTTGTAAAGGAAATTATGCGACTGAGAAGTGTTCTTGGAGACAGATTTTTCGAAGATGCAAGAATCAACGCTTTTGGAAGAGAGATCTCTCAGATAGGACCTTTCCTTCTGACGGGAGGGCAATATTTTAAGCCCGTGATGGTAAACGAAGACGATGACACAATTGTTAAACTTTTTTTCTTTGTCATTTCGCACGCGGAAACGACGCAAGTGTTATTTCGCTATTATCTCGAGCATGCAAGTTTTCTGGATGAATACTTTGCTCTGGGTCTTGTTACTTCCGAAGGACATACTCAAGTGGAAATCTATGGCAGCTCATGTCCACCGTATTGGAAAATTCGACAAGATGTTATAAACGATGCGACAAAAAGACTCCAGTCTCGTTTTGAGGATTCAAACCAGAACGAATTGGAGATGGAAAGCTCTGGCGAGTATGATAATCTCTCCAACTCGTTATTTTAAATGCCATGGGTATTGGATTATTGCGCTTCAAATGTCCATTTTACTCCTTCATCAGTGATTTTTATCCTCAGATGGGGGCAAATCTATGAGACATCTATTTTTCAAACTGACAAACTTTCCAAAAGTTTCCGCAGATATCAGTACATTGCACCAGTCTATAGAATAAATGTTTTGACTTTCTCTAATATACTACAAATATTCTCTTCATAGAAGAGCAAGTTCATCCGTAAATTATGAAAAGGTTCGATGTGGGTCATTTATGATATTTTTCAAATTTTTAGAAAGAATATATTAAAAGTATCATTATTTTTATAAAAAATTAAAAATAATCTTTATGGAAACTGTCGATACTTTAATGACTTTAATTGAATTACGCTTCTGACCGCGATAATACCTGTGGTCTGTTGGTTCATTTCAATTTCAGATACATTTCCGCCCCATCAGATTAAAATTGTCTTAGCATTGCCCGTTAGGAGATATTTATTGTTTCATTTATCACGAGGTCTAATGTTAAACAACTCTTGAGTAAAAATGATATCAAGATGCCAGTAGCTGCAGATTGGATCCATGAAGAAAGTTTCGTTAATTTTGAGTAACACCCCAGAGTTTTGCTGCCAAAATTTATGTGGTACTCCCCCCCCACCCAAAAAAATGTATTGTTTTCCATTCGCCCGACCACCCCTTCCACACCGAAAAAGGAAGCAAGCATAACCGAATACAAAGATGTTTGATTAGAAATAACCACAATTCACTTCGAGATAAAAAAAAGAAAGTTGAAGAAATAATTATATATTCACCCACTATGTCATTTAAACAAATTATTCAACTTACTAGTAAATGCCTGCTTTCAATATATTTTATCCTGAAAAATACGTAAATACCGAACAGGATCTTTATCGGGGTAAAGTAGAGGTCTTTTGTGAAGGAACTCAAATAAAATAACGGAATAATGGAAACTGATGTGCGACCATCCGCTGAGAACCTTTCAATTTTTTTTTTTATAGAATAGAATAGACAGAGTGGAGAAAAGGACACAATAAAAAAAAAAAAAAAAAAAGAAAAAAAATTGAAAAAAATCGAGTGGAAATGAAAAAAAGTGAACCCAGTGCACATCTCTCCCCTAAGTCGAGGCAATCTCCACGTGACCGCCCTAAAAATCAAGATGGCGGATGATCGTGAACCTCCTGCGCTTTTCGACGATGAAGCTGAAACACCAGAGACCAACCCGGACGAACAAGTTAACGGTAATCCCCTAATCGGAGAGACCACAGAAATTTCTCTGAATGACGAGGAAGCCAAGGCAGATACTACTCCTGAAGAGAATGACAAGGGTTCCTCCGATCTTGCTGCAGACGGGAACGAGGAAAAGTCCGAAATTTCTGCGGCGGCCTCCGTGGATGTCACCAACCTCTCTAAACCGAGCGAAGATGACAGCGAACCAGCTCCTAAAGAAAAACCTGAGGTTGTAGATACCGTAGATCGTATATTATTGGGTTATTTTTAAGTCTAATTTCATGATGATTTCTCTCGTCCTCCCATTTTGAATTGTCTAAATTGCAGATCAGCCAGGCCTCACTCATTTTCGGTAAATTGGTCGATTAACGAATTATATTGTCTTAAAGCATAGGACTGAATTTATAACAAAAGTGTATTGTTGTAATATTTTATTACAAATGTACAAATATTTGTCTAAAAGTTGTTATAGCGTCGATAGGTTTACGCTTTAATAATAAATGTTTATTCCATCTGAAAGGGGAAAACATTTTCGATTTTTCCTCCAAGTGATTCTGATTTTCCTTGCAGGAAAAGGAAATTGAAGAAGAAGAGGAAGATGATACCTTTGACATGAATATTAAAGTGACAGATCCTGAAAAGATTGGTGTGTTTTCTAAACATTTCTTTTATTTGGAGTATATTGTCAGCACCGTGCTGGTTTGATTTGTAAAATATGTTCTATATTTTGTTACCAAGAATTTTGAATTGTAGTTCTTCAATCGCCTCTAGGGACTGGGTGCATTTTGTGTTAATCCCATGGAAATGTAACACCAAATTCTGTAGACATCCTGTCATAAAAGGTTTGAAAAATCACAGCACACTATACTGAAAACTCAACCAGAGTCAACAGGTTGTATTTTAAATCATTTAACTCTCTGGCAAAGGGCTAACACTTGAAACATCAGCTTTTTAACTCTTTACAGTGGCCAATTTACAATTTCAATACAGTTGATATAACCAAATTACCTTGTTACCCCCACCGACGCAACACCACAGTTTCTTTAGAATCTTACCCCCTTTATGTATTTTAACATCATCTTTTGAGGAGAGGGGTTAGGATCTGTCATTCAAGACATAAAGGTTTTTTAACGTTTTAACTTGCAAGATCTCATTAGTAACTTTCCAGACTGTCCACCACTCAATTTACATCAACTAATAATCCCCTTATTGATATATTTCTTTATTCTCATCACTTGTCTGCGTGATATTGTGATGACATTGCAAGGGGAAATTTTGTCATAGTCACTTCTAATCATTGTGAAATTCTACTTATCGAAGCCAAGAAAGTATTACTTAATGCCATATTAACAATGTAAGTGAAGAACTCCAACTAACTTCACATTTTGTGATCAACCGATGAGGTCATAGACGAAACTAGTTTTGAAGTTTTCGCAGTAGTGTGTTGAAAGTAGAAGTTAGTTGGAGTTTTTCACTTATATTGTTAATATGGCACTTCCAATCACACCTTTATTTAATGTTACTTTTGCAGGTGATGGCATGGGCTCTTACATGGTTTTTAAAGTGACAACAGTGGTAAGTTAAAACATGATCTTTTTGCAAGCCTTAGATCAAGCTTGACTTCCACTGTCAAAGTGGTGTTTTCTCAATTATTATTTAGATCTGATCATTTTTTACTTTCAAAGATCTGGTGAGTGATTCTTATGTCTAGGTTGCTGGCTGAAATTTTGTGCAACCTTCAGTGCTTGAATGCCCTTATGCTTCACTTAAACACGTGTTGGAAGAGTTTGGTTTCTTTTTTAATTAACTTAACTGCAGTTGATTTAGACTGTAAGGATCCCCACCGGTTTTCTTAAGATATGCGTTTATCTCTCTTTTGAGTGTTAACAAACATAAATTTTACCGCCTTTATAAAGAGACAATTTTTAAGACCGAAAATAGCTACAGAAAAAAATCCAACCCCAGATTTGATTTTTGATGAATGTGAAGGTGAAATTTAAACTTATGATCTTGTTTTGCCATAGACAAGCATGCCAACATTCAAGAATTCGGAGACATCTGTGAAGCGGCGATTTAGTGATTTCCTAGGACTACATGATCGACTCAATAGCAAATTTCTTCATCTTGGAAAGATAGTGCCTCCAGCTCCTGAGAAGTCTGTGGTTGGTGAGTTATCACTTAAAAGTTTGTGAAAAAATTGCCTGCTGTCAATTCCTACACAAACTTTTTGGTTTATCAATGCTCATGATAAAATTGTCTTATGGAATAGATTAAGTACAAATGTAAGATGGATTTATTTATTTATTTATTTATTTTATTTTCAGGCATGACCAGGGTCAAGCTGGGAAAAGGAGAGGAAAGTACTCCAGTTGACTTTATTTCCAAGAGGAGAGCTGCTCTAGAGAGGTAAACTACTTTTGAGAAAAGCCCGTAATACAAATCTAAAATTCACAAGCCATCTTTGTTAAGGTGCTGCTGTTGATGCATGAGCCACATGTCTTCTATGTGTATTTATTCATTTTTAGACTTTTCTTTTGGTTGCTTTCTATTTTAGTGTCAATTTTCCTTTGAATAGTAATATTCATTCTTCAAACTACTTTACACCCTAACATCAGCTTGCATATTCTCAGATTCTCTTGGTAGGGTGTTGACCAGGATAATTTGTTTGAAAAGCAAGAGCTTCTTTAGTTACAGATCATTTCCTTTATCCTTGTGGTCTTAATACGTGATCCAAGGGTCATATTGTAAGGAGAAGGTAGATGCCACTTTAAGGGTTCAAAGAGGTTTTAATAAGGATATAACTCTGTAACTCTAGCCTGTACGTGACTAAATCTTTTGTTCTTTCACTTATTTTAACTATCCGTCGATGTTTCCCCTCCAGATATCTTAACAGAGTTGCACGACATCCAACCTTGCGTGAAGATCCAGATTTCCGACAATTTTTAGAAGCTGATGGGGTATGTGTAATGCCTCTTCATGCATAATTTTTGAACCATGCACAATTTTTTTGTCTGAAAATATTAGAGCTTTGTCAATGAATATTCCATGAGCTTTGATGTGTTAATGACTTCATCTCAACTAAGCTTTTGTTAAGTGGCACTGATGAAAATTGGTTTCTCTTTGTTTAAAGTTACCCCGAGCCAAAGACACAGCAGCACTCAGTGGAGGTGGTCTGAAGCGATTTGTGAAGTCAGTTGGAGATACCATGTTTCAACTTACCACTAAGATGTCTGAATCAGACCAGGTGATGCTAATGAAAGTCATATTACACAATCATTTTTATAGGATACAACAAGCCCTACACTCTCTTTCATTGATAACCATCTTAGAGTAGGCTGGATAAAGCTGGTAGGTCCCTAGGAATCGATGGTTTTTCTGTTTCAAGTTTTTCCCAGGCACTCCCCCTCAGTCAATGAGGGCATAATATTCAAGGTCACTGGCAGTATCTGGCTGTGTGTGCACTTGTCCTTGTACTCGTATTCACTCATTTCAAATTTAACCTTTGTCTGAGATGAAATGTTCCTTCTTTTCATAGTGGTTTGAGGAGAAGCAGCAACAGATTGAAACTCTTGACCAGCAATTAAAGAAACTTCATCTGAGTATGGAAACACTAGCAATGCAGCGAAAAGGTTGGTGTCTAATGGTATAACTTGACATTATTATTTTTAGTAGTTAACAGTGTATTGGTACATGTAATTTTTATTGCACTGATTTGGGAGAAGACTGAATCTTACTTTGGGTATGGCCCTCAACTTTTCTGGAGTTCTGGTATAAGCTTCAGACAAATATGAAAAGAGGGCCTTGTTCATTGGGACAGTTAAGAAAGGATTCTCCTTTTTCTGCTCTACTTACATCCACAGAGCCTGAAATGCTTCAATTCATGTTAAAATAATGATATTTTTCATCAACAGAATTGAGCTCTTGCACTGCAGGTTTTGCCAAGTCTACTGCTATGCTTAGTAAGTGAATATCGTTATGTGACAATGACATTATGTGATTAGAGTTTGTTTTACTTTTTTTATGTGATGCAAGCTGTAGAAGATTAATACATTTCTTGGGGAAGTGGATGCTTTGAACAATGACTGATTATAACTAAAGGTGGAAAATATTGATTCCAAAGATGCATACACTTATGTAGATAAAGCATTTTGGTGCTATTTTGGATTGTTCATTCTTTCAGAGTGCCATTAAACCAGGGCATATTTTATTTATATATATATGTAATTTTTAAATTACAAAGGGACCACAATTTTTCATTTTTGGAACTCTTACTGATGGCAGTGATAAACTGAAACCCTGAAATGTAGTAAGTGCAACTGCAAAGAAGAAGATAGTTTTACCCAACTAAATTTATCATAGATTTTTAGTCCACATTTGTGTGCTGTGATTAAATGACATTTTTATTTCTGAAACTTATGGTGAAAGTGGCTCTTGAACAGTTAGCTCGTTAGAAATTCTAAAGGACTGTGTTTTTTTAAAAGATGCATTCAGATAGAAATGCACAGAGCATGACTTTAAACCAATCATAATTTATGGTGTCACTGACTTGTTTTGTTTTCTACCTGAAGGTAACGCAGAGGAACATGCTACATTATCACGGGCACTTTCACAGCTAGCTGAAGTTGAAGAGAAGATTGAGCAGCTCCACGTACAACAGGTGGAGAATTTTGATTAAATTTATATAAAGTTCCATTGTTGTAATTACAGTGCTGTTAACTCATCACTGACTTGTAAAATGATAGATACCTCTAACTAACAGAGTTTGAGGTCTCTACTGTAAGTCAATAAACCCACATGGATGGAATGCAAGTAAGTTAAACAATTCCACATGGATGGAATGCTAGTACATTCAGGGTTCTCCCATATTTTAACGACAGCTAAAAGAGATTTTCAAACTGGTGGAGCAATCCTTTTACCTGTTGAATTATTGAAAATTTAACAATTCAACAATCCCAAGCAATTTAATTCAGCAACTGTAAGAGGAACTACAAGCTGTAAATTTTACTGGTTATTGTCTGAAAAGAAGAACACTGAAACACTGACATCAGTGGAAACCTTGTGGCACTCCTTACTGGCCATTAATGCTGTGGGAAGAAAGTGGGTACAGTGGGAGTTAATTTTCTAGTTTATTAAGAACCTGGTGACCTTTGCAATGGCTTGAACATACTGTGCTAGATCTAGTCACTCTCGCTGTATTTAAGCATTAATGTAACATTTTTGAAAAAAATTCCTTCCTTTGTGATTGTGAAGAGTGTTACTGTTTCAGGCGGACAGTGATTTTTATGTTTTGGCTGAACTGCTGAAAGATTATATTGGTCTGATTCAAGCAGTCAAGGTTGGTAATAGTGATGAAAAATTTCTTCATTTTTTTATAACCCTTAAAATGCCTTTAGCTTTAAAAATGGTGTGTGTTGTGCTTCAAAAACAAAGGAAATGATTGTATGAAATAGGGATAAAGAAGACCTGAAAAGTATTCATAGAGATATGGAGCTTGTGTAGATCTTGTTTAAAAAAAAATGTAGAAAATGATGTGAGAAAAAAAATCAAGCCTCAGGGCTCGACACTAACTTTTCAACTTACTAGCCAAGTGGCTAGTGACATCTTAGATGTTTTTAGATGCTATGGCAGTTTCAGTCTGTTTACTAGCCAAACTGGCTAGTAGAAATTGAAAACCACTAGCCAAAACTGAATTTCTACTAGTCTGTAGCTAGTGGGCTACTGTTAGTTTCGAGCCCTGAGCCTGACAATGCTCAAAGCAGGTTTCTGAATGGGTGCTATCAACTTAGCTGAAAGGCAACAAGTGTATTGTTTGTGGTCAGATTTCATTTCAGGAAACAGAGAGACTAGAGCCAAGCTCGTTACTTCATGGCTCTGTTGGTAGAAAATCCCAAGTAATATCAATCAGTTTTATTTGTTTGTTGTGTGATGCCTTTTCAGACGGCTTTTCTCCCCTGCTCCTTAAATTGTAATTCAGTGGCTGATAAGAATCAATCCATCGTACTTTCTTGTTACAATTGACAGGTCAAAACATGTTTTATTTTTTGTTATGTACACAACTATATTTAAAAGGAGTTTCTCTGTCACCGTAGGCAAGCTTTCAAGAGCGTGTCCGATCTTACAGTAACTGGCAACATGCACAGCAGATGTTGACAAAGAAACGAGAAGCTTTGGTAAAGCTGGAACTTGCATCAAAAAATGAAAAGCTCCCTCAAGCACAGGAGGAAGTGAAAGAGGTATGCAAGTTTCTTAATTTGTGAAAAACGTTGTCAGTATTTTTTTTTTTTTTTTAATCTTTGATCAGTATACTTCTAAAACAGTAAAAATACTATACTAGAAGTATACACAAACCGCTCCCAAAGTAGTCAAAAATTATTTGGGAGTGGTTTGTGTTCCTGGTGGACATTTGCACAAGTGACAACAATACCATTCGTTGGAACTTGTATTTTAGTAATGTTATAAGATGATAAGTTTGACAGGTGTGTTTTTTGGCATTTTTTTCTGTTTCGGTTTAGTGGGAACATAAAGTGGAGAAAGGGGAGGAAGATTTTGGCAAGATTTCTAAGGCGATTCAGAAGGAGATGGCCCGATTTGAGGTGAGAAACAAAGAGAGTTTGGAAATGGAGAATGCAACTTCAGGAAATCTGTTCATTTTCCAGGAGTTACCCTTAGTTTTTGGGAGCTGATGTTATGTTATTTGTTGCAAAATGTAGAACATAACATGAACGCTCCATGTACGTTTGTTTTTAAAACTCAGCACATTTTTACCTTTTACATGTAGAAAATGATTTATTTATAAGTACTCGGAAACAACCGTAAATTATGTTTTTCCTGAACAGAAAAACCGAGTGAAGGACTTCCGGGAATCTCTGATCAAATACTTGGAAGACATGATGGAAAGCCAACAACAGGTTTGTTTCTTAGGGATGCAGAAAAAGGGTTGGTACAAAGCATTCTCACTGTAGAAAGAGGAATTTTTTTGTTAAATGTTTGTTCCTCCTTAAAAAAAAAAAAATGAAAAAATATATTGGCCAAAGAAGTAAAAGCTTTTTCAATTTCCAGTGTGAGACCCTGTACTTGTTCAATAACGCGACCGGATGGTCTATTGGACAAGCGTGGCAGTTATGGAAAAGTCAGCGTTATAAACTCCTTACAACTCGGTTGATAATACCAGATCATCATGCAATACCCCCTACCAACGCAACACCACAGTTTTCTTAGAAACTTATACCCTTTATTCTTATAAGTTGCATGTACAAGCGTCATATATCACCCAATTATTTAATCATTTTCTGTTTTGCCTTTTGCAGTTGATCAAGTACTGGGAAGCTTTCTTACCGGAAGCTAAGGCCATTGCATAGACGCCTTTCAAAAATATCATAATTTTTCAATTACAGTTTAACCTGAGAACATATGAGTATTTTCTTCAAGAACTTAATTCTTGAATTGCTTTTTTTCAAAACATGACAGCGACGTTGTTGACTTATCATCAGTGTTTATCCGTCATTTCATAGAGATATCGTGACCGTACTTGCACCTTTGGTTATTCCACAGTCCGTAGAAATCGGAAAGAAATTTAAATCTGTCGGAAATGATTTAACGTAAAAAAATCAATTTTGCTCAAGGGGAGGGAGCGATAACCAGATGATGTTTGTAGTATTTTTCGTACTCAAAATATCACTAGAATTAAAGTGTTGACTACAATGCAATCATGCTTGAAGAAATCGAAATGAACATTATGTGGTTTGTTCACTTAAAATGACCAGCTCTAAGAATCTTCATAGGAATAGTTTGGAAATTAAATTTCGTCAGCAGTGTTTGGGTTCCTTCATTTTTAGTAAAATCAATGAACGCACCTAAAGAAACAAAAAAAATAGCTTTTTTGTAGGTAAAGAATGTTGATGTCTCAAGTTATAGACACTGAAATAAAGTTAAATCGTAAGATGTTTCCAGTTACATTGTCTGCCCTAGTTTTATGAGCTTTGTGTCTAAAATTTCTGATGGAGTTTAGCTGGTTTGTGCTTCTTAGGGTGACCGACCGCACTGACTTATTTTCTGACACTTTTCGGCACCAACACCGGCTGATGCAGAGAAGTGTACAGCACCGGCTGATGCGGAGAAGTGTACGGCACCGGCTGTACAGATGCGGGCAATCTCTGCGAACTCTCTCACCGATGGACTGGAAATATTTATTAAATGGGAAATTTAGTCTGCTTAAAAATGATAAAACCTTTCGGAATGCGCCTGTTCAAGTTGGTAACTGAGTTGGAAAGATCTCATGTGGGTTAAGGTGGCTGGTACTAGTTTCCTCGCGCGGGGAACAGGTCACCCTTGCGTCACGGGCAACTTCTAGTATAGTATTTTTACTGTTTTAGAAGTATACTGATTAAAGATTAAAGAGAAACGTGCTAAAGAGGCGCGAGAAGACGAAAATTCAAAGCAAAGATGGCGGCGCGAGGCTTTTTTCTACTTTTGTAAGAAGTTTACCTAACAGCGTGTATCCGATGTTTTAGACGGCCACTGCGTAGGCAGGAGATAAAAACGAAGTTAAAGAAGACGATTCTCGGAGACATAAAGGTTGCTTCACATCAAATTATTTGAGCCATAAGCTAAAAAAAGCGTCTGAATAATCTTTTGAAAGCGTTGCCATAGAAACTGCCAGTGACGAAATGACACCTATTTTCGGATAGCCAATGATTACATAATTCAACCTTGTAAAAAGGGTTCAACTGGCCTTGGTCAGTCTTTTTGTTGTAATCTTTCAAAGTTACAAACCATCAAAAAGATGAAAACTGCAACCTCGTTCCCAGGGCCTTTTTCCCTTAGCTGGGGTGGGACCAACTCCACCCCCAACTAAGGGAAAAGGCCCTGGGAAAGAGGTTGTGAAAACTGGTACCAGCCACCTTAAAAACTACTGGAAATGGAAGAATTTGGAATGGTTGATAGTTTCTAAAGAAACTGTTTGGGGCTGCGTCGGTGGGGGTAACGAAATAATTTGAATGTATCAAAGTTGAAATGGTAAATTGGCCACCGTTACGGTTATAAAAGCTGACGTTTTGAGCGTTAGCCCTTCATCAGAGCGAATGGCCTAGTTCATCATTGAGTCTGTGTGGCTCATTCTTAAAGCATCAGAGAGAGAAATCCGAAAGCCCAGGGCAAGCTTTTTGCGTAGTTTTCAGACTTTTTCATAGTCCTACGCTAGTGTCAAGTCAACCAAAATATTTCCAGAATTTGGAATTGTTTGCGCTGAACCGTTTACCCCGATTTACGGGCTCAGAAAGTGACTCGTACTTCCACGAGGAAAAGTATGAGGCTATCCCTACCAAAAGTAAAACACAATTTTGGGAAAAGGACCTTTTTTTTTTACTGGCGGAGAAATTTTTAATAAACTCCCTTTAAACATTGTGAAGAGTGAAAACATTCAAACGTTCTGCCCCAGAGCAAAACTTTTTTTTTTATCTTAACTTGATATTTTATCTACTATTTTAGGTCTTAACTGTGTTTTGGCTTTGTAGTCTTAGGCTGTTAAAGTAGTTTTAAAATCTTAGTCATATATATAAATAATTGACAAGTTTGATGTAATTTATTTTTAAGAAACAGGGCCCCTACATATGGATACCAGCCTTGAGCTGGATGGGATACCCTGTGTAAATCAAGTTTTACTTACTTACTTACTTACTTTCATTTTCGTACCCCGTTGCGCTTAATTTATCCCTAAGATGAATAGAAATTTTGAATGATTGCATTTTTTCTAGGAATAATTGTGAAATCTCCATCGTTCGTCGGTCAATCAAAAGTTATTAAAGGTGTGTGTTGTCTGCCAAATTTTTGAACCCTGATTTTCTTTTTCATTTGATTGGTGCTTTAATCAATATCCACAATACACTAGGAGAGTCGCGCATCAACGAAAGAGCGTTTTACTTAAAAATGTTTGTATATATTGTTGTGATCTTCGATTCATTTTTTATAATGATATTAGTTGTATTTCTAAATGAGATCAAGGTTCGTCATATGATACCAGGTCGGGCCTACATCTTGTTAAAGGGAGCTTTGATTTTGATTTGTTTTCGTTTTTCCGTCGCGGTGGTCGCTAACATGATTATTTTGATACATGGAACAAATGCAAACAAGGAAGCGATACAGGCCAATATCATCAGAGATATTTTGTTTCTGCTTTTTTTGCAAAAAAAGCCGTTGGGAAAAAAACCCTATTCGTATAAAAGTGTCTCATTGGTAAAATTAGAAGAAATAGAGGCACATGCCAAATTACTTTTATCGTTTAAATCAATTGTCATTTGCTACTTTTCTGTTTTTGTAGTTTTATGCTAAGGTAGGTTTAATTTGTCTTCATTGATGTTTTACTTTCAGTTAATTTAATAGGAAATTTTAGATTGCGTATGGAAAGTAATTTAGGAATGCATTGGCTTTTAGAGAAATTACGCTTTGTGATTGAGAAAGCTCGCTCAAGTGCAATTGTGTGTATTTGATACCTTACCAGTGACAATGCCGGCTGCAGGGTCATTTTGTTTAACAATGGTAAGTCAAGGCAAATACACCTGGACTCTTGATTTAACAGACACCGTCATCATATGGCCTAGATCTCTCAAAAGGACCTCTGCAGTCATGTGTCAGTTTTTTTTTCCACCATAACACAGTCATGGACCTAGTCAGACCCTGACTGGTTCATAAAATAATCATCGAAGTGTCTTATCGAATTATTTTAAGAATAAAGATTTAAGACTTATTCTTAAGTTTTGATTTTCCTGCTTTTTTTATATTCAGTTTCTAAGCTAGTTACTGTAAGTTATCAATTTACTGAGAAGTAGTTAATTTGATAAAGTGCTTTATTTGGTCATAGATTTGATAAAGTCATTTTTTACGTCGACCGTGGATCTCCTCCGAACCCTGTTTTTGGCTGTTCTTTTTGCCCCTGCCCTGAAGATGGTCATGTTTGACATTTTTTTCAGAGTTCTCGGACAAAAAAAATTGTTTCCTTCAGAGCTGAAGTATTTTATTGCGTATTGTGAAAAGGTGTAAATGAATTGCTTTACCTTTTGTCTGTCTATTTTTTGTATATGTTAATTGTTTGTATCCATTATTCTCCATGTAAGTCTGTGTTCGGTGGGGAGCACACTCATTGCCGAAGGGGACAGTTATGCCGCGTCGAGGCTAATAAACTGGAAACACGCGGAATCTGGTGATTCAATTATTTCTTAAAGTATTTTAACAAAGTCCATCTATGAAAAAGCTGACTTGTCACCTAGTGGCCGGGCCGACCATAGAGTCCCTGTGGCTCAGTGGTAAAGCTCCCGAGCGCGGAATCCGCAAGTCTAAGGTTCAATTCCTCCACTGCTCGTGAAATGACGAAAAAAACGTATTTTAGGTGTGTTCCACCTGCTTGATCTTTACTACTCTTATCGTGTGTCCCTATTAGGAGCTTTCAGGTTGATTATTTCTAGATGATTGTTAATGTGAATCTCTCCATTGGTCAAAATGGTTTTAATCTTCGTTACATGCAACTATGAAAGAGTTCTGAGGTTTCATAATAAACACTACGTACTTGTGGATTCGCTGCTCTCGTTTTCCCACCGGAGCCGATGGGAGAAATACCTCAGTGACTGATACCGATCTAACTGCAACCTGAGATTGCACCATGAGCATCTGTTGTTTCTGGGGAGATAGCCTAGAAACTTGATAGACTGATAGATTGATAGACGTTTATTAAGAATACCTTAATAGCAGCTGGAAGCTGGATTACAAAGGTGTACAAATGATGCAATTGAACTATACAATAAAATCAAACCTAAAAGGGAACTAATTTACATATAAAATTATAATAAATGTTAGTTAAAATGTTTTGCGCTTGCTGGAATGAAAGTATCTCTGAACCGATTTGTTTTAAAGGAAACCCTAAATGGTCTGCGTCGTCGTAACTCCACAAGTTGATCTCGGTTATCGAAAGGCAGTAAGTGGTATAAACAATCCAAGGGATTGGAGACGATGTTGTTAAAGAATTTTAAGCAAAGGTCTTCTCTCCGATCCCTTAGTGTTTTCAGCTCTGCCATCTGAAGCACTTCTCTATAATGATTATCATAACCGTAAACAATTTTCAAGGCTCTCTTTTAGACACGCTCTAAACTTAAGCTCAAATAATTGGGGAGACTATAATGGTAGACCTGACATCCATAAAGTAAGACAGACTGAATACAAGCAACATAAACATTGGCTAATTCTGGTAATGGTACTTTAGCTCGCTTTAACTGAGTTAAAAAGTAAAGGCGCTTAGCGGCCTTTTTAATCGTCTCAGTAACGTGAATGTTCCACTTGAGGTTGTCTTGAAAATACACACCAAGTAATTTCACGACACTAACGGCACTAACCTTAGAGCCCTTAATTTTTATGAGATCGTAGGAAGGAGGGGAGCGCACAAAGGAAACTCTTGGCTCATTATATTTTTTCGGATGGAGTTGAAACGAGTTGAGTGTTGACCAGGTAGCTACTTCGTTTATCATAGACCGAGCATTGCTAGGACCACCCTTGCTTATGATTTCATACACTGTCGTGTCCTCTACATATTTTATACAATCACTGACTGATGGTACTTTCAAATCGTTTATCATAACCAAGAATAGCCACGGTCCAAATTTTGTTCCCTGCGGTACTCCTGCTCGGACCGATCCCCACTCTGAGAGACAATCATATGCAAGTTTGACCGTTTGTTTCTTATCTTTAAGATAGGCTATTATCCAATTAATGATGTAAGGGTTGATGTTGTAGGTCAGAGTTTCGATAGCAAGAGGCTGTGATCTATCAGATCGAAGGCTTTTCTATAGTCCAACGCAAAGATCCGCACGGTGTTCCCCGTTCCGTCTGTTGCTTGCGCCCAATTGTGCATCAGATTTATCAATGCGTGCGCAGTGGACGATCCTGGAATACACAAATTGATCGGGTTCCAG